TCTCCTGCCTGTTGATTTTCTTAACCTCTACCTATTCTCTCCGTTCTGTTTCCGGTTCCTGTTTATCTGTTCCCAAATCCAACAAAATTGCTGGTGATAAATCTTTCTCTTCCTCTGCTCCAAAACTGTGGAACAATCTTCATATTTCCATCCGAAATGCTTGTAGTACTGAAGTCTTCAAAAAACTCTTAAAAGCTCATTTATTTCCTAAATAATCCTCTTCCTACAATAAACCTTTTCTAAGCACCTTGTATCCTTTGGCAAAAGGCACTATATAAATTTCTATATTATTATTATATATATACATACATATGTATATATATATATACGTATATGTATATATATATCAATATATATGTATATATATATATCAATATATATGTATGTATATATGTATAAATATATATGTATGTATATATATGAATATATATATACGTATATGTGTATATATATACATATATGTATATACATACATATATATATATATATATATATTTTACACGTATATATACTTCTAAAAGTCGTGTATCATGCATAGGAACGTTGACGCCTGCAAGGCTCTGGTTTATATATTTATTGTTGTTTGTGTTCCCACCAGTAAGTGGTGAATTTTGTATTTGCTGTTGTAAGAAAAGTATTTTATAAATGTTTAATTCATGCAGTATTATTATAATAATTATTGTAAATGTTTTATCTTTTGCTAGGCAATCAAACTGCAAATAAATGCAGCTTTACAGCCAGGGATGGAGCAAGGCTGGATCCAGCCAGTTATTGGTAAAGAGTACTCAATGGCAGAGGCAGGCCAAGCTCATGAAGATGTTGTAAGCACTAAACCAACACTAGGACGCTTAGTAATTGTGCCTTGAAGGTGAAACATTTTATGGTTTAAACAGATTCTCCTTCAAATTCGTTAATTGTTATCAGCTTCTCAACAATCATCAAACATAATTTTCTTGCATGATGATGGCAAATTTTGTTGAAGAATTTACTGAAATTATCAGATTGTCAGAGATAGGACTAGGGCGTAGTGGCTGAAGGTTTTCTGCAGGCCTAGAATTATACTCATTAGTTGGATTGATCAACTACATTTCTTGGCATGATTAATAATATTGAGATTGCAACCAATCATGGCTAAAAACCATATACACATAAACAATAGCACACATTGATTTTATGGAAACCAAAATTTAGGGAGCATTATGTACTTTAATTATGCTGAACAGTTTATGGCGACTGTGAGAAATTATTGGGGTTTTTTTTCAGTAAAAGAAATAGATAATGTATGTCAATCTCTTCCGCTGATTGTGTCTATCTTGTTACATACAGTTGGACCTATGTGCCATCATCATTTTGATATCGATGTGGGAGAAATGATTGGGTTTTTGTTTTAATAAAAGAAATATATTCTGTATATCAGTCTCTTCCACTGATTTTGTCTTGTTATATTCAATTGGGACATATGTGCCCATAATAATTTTGATATCAACTCTTTTGCTATGAAAGATTTTCAGTTATTTTCTATCCGCCAACATGTGTGGAATACTCAAAAGACTTGTAAAAAATTGTTTTCCTACATATCATATCAAAATAATTTTAGAATAAAGGTCTGGCAGAATGCAGACATTATTGAATATACTGTTCACTCCAGGGGGCGGCACAACAATTTGCCTGACGTGGAGTCTGATGTCCCCCACGGGGGCCGAATCCCATATGAGAACGTGAGTGGGAGTGGTCGGGCGTCTGTGTGAAAATGTCTTGGAAGTGATCTAGGATTTGATTTGATTTGAAGTGATCTAATTTGCTGCTCTCGTTGGGGACCTTACCACTGCATGCTAGAATGCTTCAACTACTGAGGCCTTTTGCCTCCCCTCCCATCGTACCCCTCCCCATTGTACCTCTTTCCGAACCTCACCATAGTCATATAGGTTCCTCTGGACTTTCCTTGATACCTGATATGGATTCCTGGTTACGGCAGGTGACACATTATGTAGGTCTATGCTTGGAGGAATGTCAAATACAGTATATGAGAAATCATTGGAAATGGGGGGTTTTCACTAAAACGACTATTTTCCCCCTAAGGAGGATTGAAGAGGACACCCGCACACATCGATTTATACCAAAAAATGCCAGACTAGGTGCCTCTAAAGGAGCATTTAAAAACAATTTTCCACCTCAGCCCAAACCATAAAGAGCATATGGTATCTAGTCACCCACCAAACTTTAAATCATTTGGAGAAGGAAATTAGTGGCTTTATAGGTTGCCAAATGCTCTTTCCAGGCATCTAGGGATGTTATTTCTTCAAAATTTAGCAAAAATCAGCCCAAAGTATGATGGATCTGAGGTGGGTATATGGATTATGGAGTGCCATTGAGGGTGGTTACACCTCCCCGGGCACCTCCCCCAATTGTCAGTGTCCCCTTGGATCACTTCCGTGAGATTTTGAGCGACGTCCACTTACGCTGTCGTCGGGGACATCTGACCACCCCCATCCTGTCGTGCAAATCCTGGCGCCACCCCTGGTATGGATTTTTACTCCATCTAATTTTAACTTCTGTATCCGCCCATAAAGGATGGATAGCAGTTCTGCAGGTTGCGAGCGGATACTTCCGAGTATACAGATGCCATTTTCCAAAATTTGCTAACCTCCAACAATGGTGGGGCTGAGGAGCGTATGGATGTGATCTCCCATTTTTAACTCCTGTATCCACCCTTGGAGGGGGATAGGGATAGCAGTTCTGCAGGTGCCATTGGGTATTTCCGAGCAAGGTGCCTTTTTTCAAAATTTGCTCATCTCAGTCCCGACCAATGGACAATGGAAATACCGTTAAAATATATTGTATGACTATTAAACCATAGAATCTATTTTTCTATGAGGGTTTCCTCTCAGTATATTAAATTATTGTCAACAATACCGTCTGTTATCTTGCTATATTTTGGCGTTGTTTGATATCTCATTGATGCAAATTGTCCTGTAAATTTTAGTATACCATTTTTACCATATCACATTGTTCACCATTTAAATTTCGGTGCAGTGGGGCTTATCCATTCCGTTGCTTGGAAACCGATTAAAAAGTGTTGCTTTTAGCATGGTTTGCTGTTCCATATTTCCTTAGCATTGGTCATTTTGAGAGCACTATTACAATAACAATTATGTTCTGTTACCTATGTTAGCAGATCATGAAAATGGAGGCTGTTTCTTCCTGGAGGTTTCCCCCGGACATTTCTCCAGGTATTTTCTCTCTCATCAGACTTTTTCCCTGTGACATTAGCCCCCGGTCCTTTTCCCCCTAAGACAATTACCCTCGGACTCCCATGCGTTAAATAAAAAAATAAATAAATACTAGGAGAACATCAAGATTTACACCCTCTCTTTTATTATATCCTAATAGCCAAAGTGCACAAATAACAACAAAATTTACTTGATTTGTCATCAGCGATATTTGGTTGTCCATGTTTAACCGGACCTAAACCAAATTTTTCCCGCCAAATCTTTCCCTCTACACTGGAAACTATGCCATTGTTTTTGGCTTTCCTTCCCCACCAGCTAGAACAATGCCACTGTCTTGGCTTTCTAGCCACGCCCCGCCCTTCTATTCAGACCGTGAATTTTAGCTTTTGTATAGCTTTTCACTGGTAGGCTCAGCCTTTGTTTAGTTTTCAACCTGTATAAGGGTTGAAGCAAGTCAACCGAAACGTCGAGATATTCTCAACCAACAACAGTTCTTTTCAGAACTATCTACGTGGTGTACCGCAAGCATTAATTATATATTATACTTCGCCATGCAAACCTTCAAACAATATTTTCTTCCAAAAATCAAAATAATATAAGAAATGAACATGTACTGTCCATAAAAAAAAAAAAAAAATACTAGGAGAAAATCAAGATTTACACCCTCTCTTTTATTATATCCTAATAGCCAAAGTGCACAAATAACAACAAAATTTACTTGATTTCTTCCTTTTACCAATTTTTTTTTAAAGTTATAAACAAAACTTTAGCACAGAAATAATGATAACTTGGAAATATCTATACAAATATAGGTAACAAAGTATCAAAATAATATAAGAAATGAACATGCACTGTCCATCAGAAAAGCTTCATCTTTGTTGTTTAGTAATGGGAGAGAGACAATAGAATTTAAAAGCCAGAGCTACATTTTCTATCTTAGCACTTTTTGAATTTTAGATCTTTGCAATACCTGTTGCGATGGCATTACTATTACTATAAACTATTAGCTATTACCAATCAGCTTTCATTCAGTCTTGGTACCATAATGAACTAAGGAATATCGTAGGAATAACTACTTCCTTAAAATTAAGTAAACTAAAAAATTAAAATGTACTGTAAACTAAAATGTATAATTAAAATTAAATATGAGATGTAAAAAGGAGAGGGCAAAAGTCCAGGGGGAAATTGTGCTGGGGGAGTCTGGGGGAATTTGTCATGTGGGGAGGGGGAGCGGGAAATACCTGCTCCCAATGAATATATAGGCCTAAACCCAATTTCTTGATTTAAATAATTTCCACAAATATTGTTGCATCACACAACAGGCACACATACCCACACAACACAATATCAAGTCTGATAATGTATGATGATAAAATAACATTAATTTTCTTTCAGAGACCTGGTTGGTTGTACACCTGTCTGCTAACACCCAAATTATGGTGAAAGCAAGCTTGTACGTGGACTACTTACTGAATATCGTAGACAAGTCGTCGCCAAAAACATCTTCTAAAATATTGAATTTCGGAATGGTGTTTCTTCTAAGTTTGGAAAATGTACATATAGGTAAGTAAAGCATGTGATATACTACGGTATAGTACACGTAGTTGTACAAGCCTAGACCTACATGGTGTTAAATTTAATTGTGGCATCCATTGTTGTGTTGTTGTTCAGGCCTACATTTTTCAGATCATAGGCTGTGCTCTAAAATTGGTTTGTAGAGAGTCCTTTTCATTCATTTTGTGTACTATTTTACAAAATAGCAAATATTAAAACAATGGCATTAAACAGGAATATCGGAGTGAGAATAAACAGTAACAACATAAAAGAGCTAAAGATGTGTTGTGTAATGACATACCGTACATTTATGGTCGTAGGCACATGTTTTTGCAACCACACTAAATAATATAAATAAAATAAGTAAACTTAAGTGTGGTACAGTGCTCTTTAATTTAAATAGGACAATAACAATTTACAAATTCATGAAAACAGAATGTAGCATAAAGTGATCTTAATGCCGTTAATGTTCTGAAAATCTTTGTACATTTATACATATATCATTTTTCTATCTAAATCATTTTAATTGATTTAATAAAGTGTAATAATATTTATACAGTGACTTAAAATATCAGTAAGCGTCGTAAAATGCGCTGTAACTTAAATAGGCCTAAAAATCCCATAGATATATAAATTCATGAAAATAAAATGCAGCATAAAGTGATCTTAATGCCGTTAATGTCCTGAAAATCTTTGTACATTTATGCATATATCATTTTTCTATCTAAATCATTTTAATTGATATAATAAAGTGTAATAATATTTATACAGTGACTTAAAATATCAGTAAGCGCTGTAACTTAAATAGGCCTAAAAATCGCATAGATATAAAAATTCATGAAAATAAAATGCAGCATAAAGTGATGTTCTCAAAATCTTTGTACATTTATACATTTTCATATATTTCTGGCACTGTATTCGTTCTTCGATATATTATTCTATAC